CCTGGGCCCCCCCGCTCCCCCCGGGCCCCCCGGGGCCCCCGGGGCCCCCGGGGGGGCCCCCGGGGCCCCCGGGGGGGCCCCCGGGGCCCCCGGGGCCCCCGGGGGCCCCCTGGGGGCCCCCCGGGTCCCCGGAGAAGGCGGTTGCGAGGAGCTGAGCGAGGAGATGCGTCCGATGAAAGGAGTTTACTTTGACAGGACTCAAAAGAGTTGGATTGGGTCTTTTTATGAAGAAAGAAGACAAATAAAGAAAAGATTCAAAGTGGCAACTTATGGGTACCACACTGCGAAGGCCTTGGCGATAAACGTGCGGCTGGGCTTCGAGCGCAAGAGCCGGCTGCGCGGCGAAGACGGCCGCGAGCCGCACGCTGCTGCTGCTGCTGCTGCTGCTGCTGCAGCGCATGCAGAGCGGCTGCTGGCGGGGGCCACGGAAGCAGCACTTGCTGCTGGAGAAGCTGGGATCGACTCCCACAAGGAGGCGCAGCTGCGGCTGCTGCTGCACAGCGCAGCAAGTGGCTCCACGGCGCAGCTGCCGCGCAGCGAGCTGCTGCAGCAGGTCCTGCGGCGGCAGCCCAAGGCCTACGAGGACAAGAAGCACAGGCTTCCTGCTGCTGCTGCTGCTGCTGCTGCTGCTGCTGCTGCTGCTGCGCCAGCTGCGCCCGCCGCCGCGGGGGCCCCCCTCGCGCTCCTCACGCCCAGGGGGCCCCCCTACGACCCGCAGAAGCAGCCGGGGGCCCTTTCCTGCGGCGCCGCTCTCCCGCAGCAGCCCCACGGCTGGCCTGCTGCTGCTGCTGCTGCTGCTGCTGCTGCTGCTGCTGCTGCCACCGTCAAGGCCGAAAACCCCGCCGCCCTCCTCGCCCACGACAAGCACCAGCAGCTGCTGCGACACAAACAGCGCAGCACCAGCAGCAGCGCCGTCGAGGACGCCAAGGCCTCCGACGCAGCTGCTGCTGCTGCCACTGCAGCAGCAGCAGCAGCTGCTGCTGCTGCCGCACCCTGTTCCGCCGTTGCTGCTGCGGAATTCGCCGCTGCTGTTGCGGCCCTCAGGTGCACCCTCGCTGCCCAGGAGGACTCAGCTGCGTCGCGGGCAGCTCCTGCTGCTGCTTCTCTGCGCCGGCAGCTGCAGCAGCAGCAGCAGCAGCAGCAGCAGCAGCGGCAGGGCCGCTGCCCTGCGGCGGAGGCAGCGGCAGTCGACGCCGCAGCCGAACCCAAACCTGCAGCAGCAGCAGCAGCAGCAGCAGCAGCAGCAGCAGCAAATGGATCGGAGTCCGGAGAGAACTCCGAGGCAGCAGAAGATGACCTGGATGAAGCCTTTAGAGCAGCAATTAAGGAATCGCGGGACCCCACATCTCTTTTTGCTCAAGCCCTGGATGTGTCTTCGACTTCTTTGGCTTTCTTCCACTCGCTGCAGCACAAGCAGCAGCAGCAGCAGCAGCAGCAGCAGCAGGAGTCGCCGCTCTCGGGCGCCCCCGCAGCCAGCAGCAGCAGCAAACCCAAGCAGCAGCAGCAGCTGCGCAGGTGGGCGGGGGGCCCCCAGCTTTCCCCTTCCAGTGCTGCACTGCAGCAAACGCCTGCGGACTCTCCCTCTTCAACAGCAGCAACTCCTCCCCGCAACAAGTCTCCCGTTGCTGCTGCTGCTGCTGCTGCTGCTGCTGGAAGTGGGGTGCCTCTCGCTGCAGCTGCAGCAGCAGAAGGCGAAGACAAGAACGAGCATGTCGCCGCAGCAAAAGAGTCCTTGGGAGGCAACGCCTGGCTGCAGCAGCAGGCTGCTGCAGCAGCTGCTGCTGCAACAAAGTCAGCAGCCCCGCCAACCCCAGCGGCAGCAGCAGCAGCAGCAGCAGCAGCAGCAGCAGCAAGAGGCCCTGGGACCTTGGCTGCACTGCGCAGCCTCGGCTTTGAAACGGGACAAGGAGACAATCCCCAAGAAGCAGCAGCAAGAGAAGCAGCAGCAGGGGCCCCCCCCTGCAGCCGAATGTCTCCGCAGCCCTCGCGGCTGCTTGAGAAGGACCAGACCACTGGTCACAGCAGCAGCAGCAGCAGCAGCAGCAGCAGCAGCAGCAGCGGTCCTCAAGTGGCCCACGTGGAGGCGGGCACAAGGGAGGGCAGCAGCAGCAGCAAACCACTTGAGGCAACAATGCCGCACCTTCAGCAGCTCCCCCAGCAGCTGCAGCAGCTGCAGCAGCAGCAGCAGCAGCCCCTTGTTGACCTCGCAGCTGCATCAGCAGCACTTCGCCAAGCCCACAGCCTAGGGGACACAACCCAGCTGCAGCAGCAGCTGCTGGAGCAGCTGCAGCAGCTGCAGAGGCAGCACGAACAGCTGCAGACACAGAACTACAGTGGGGAGAGCGGCGACGGGCTGGGTTCTGCTGCAGCAGCAGCAGCTGCTGCTGCTGCTGCTGCAGCAGGAGCAGCACAGGAGGGACTCCCTCGTCAAAGTGCTTTGGAAACCCACAAGTTTCCTCCTGGGGCGGCCTCTCTGGATCCCCAGCAACGGCAGAAACTGCTGCTGCAGCAGCAGCAGCTGCTGCTGCAGCAGCTGCGCGCAGACAGGGACCCAAAGTTTGCTGCTGCCGAAGCAATCAAAAGCCTCCTCTCTGGCTGCCCTGCAGCAACACAGCCACCTCTGCTGCAGCACCAAGGAGATCCAGCAGCAGCGAAAGTGGCAGCAGCAGCAGCAGCAGCAGCAGCATCAACAATAACAGCAGCAGCAGAAGGCAGCGGCACGGAACCGGACGGCGAAGCGAGCTGGACTGCGCGCACCACACAGCAGCAGCAGCAGCAGCAGCAGCAGCAGCTGCAGCAGCAGCAGCAGCAGCACACCTCCAAGTCTTCGGATGTATCTTTTCAGCATGGCGACGCGCCCGCAGTAAGCTGGGCTGTCGCGGATTCTCGCGAAGCAGCAGCAGCAATCCCTTAAGAGCAGCAGCAGCAGCAACGCCTTAAGAGCAGCTGCAGCAGCAACGCCTTAAGAGCAGCAGCAGCAGCAACGCCTTAAGAGCAGCAAGAGCGGCGACGCATTAAGAGCAGCAGCAGCGGCAGTGCCTTGAGAGCAGTAGCAGCAGCAGCAGCAAAGTCTCGAGAGCAGCAGCAGGAGCAGCGCTTTAGGAACAGCAGCAGCAGCTAAAACGGCACTGTTATGAATGACACCAGCAGCAGCAGCAGCAGCAGCAGCAGCAGCAGCAGCAGCATTTTATGGCAAGAGACACTAGTAGGGTCCCTTTAAAACCTGCTTTTAGCCCTGTGCGAAGCAGCACAGGAGGCGGCCTCTGCTGCAGTTGGTTTGGGTGTACATACACCTCAGTACGGCCTCACACCTGCTGCTGCTGCTGCTGCTGTGGCTGCCGCTGCTGCTGCCGCTGCTGCTGCTGCACCCCAGGGCCAAACAGCACGGCACAAAGGTTTTAGCAGTCACAGCAACGAGTGTACCAGGCCACGCTGCAGCAGCAGCAGCTGCTGCAGCTGCTGCAGCAGCTGCAGCAGCGCCACCAGCAGCAGCAGCCCCCAGTCTTTGCCCTTTTGCTGAATCTTCCTGGGCATTTAAAAACTTATTAATGCGCTGGGGCCCCACAGCAGCTTTGGGGGGCCCCTTGGCGCGGCTGGGGGCGGACTGCTGGGGTGTACAGACACCTCACTGTGGGGCCCCTCGGGGCTCTTTTCAATACATAACTTCACAGCAGCAGCAGCAGCAGCAGCAGCAGCAGCAGCAGCAGCACAATCAAGCAAAGACTAGGGCTCTATGCAGTCGTATGGGGGTCTAGGGGTGCAGTAATTCCGGAGAATACTCTGCAGGAAATCAAAAGCAGCAGCACTAGCAGCACTAGCAGCAGCAGCACTAGCAGCAGCAGCACTAACAGCAGCAGCACTAGCAGCACTAGCACCAGCAGCATCAGCAGCAACACTAGCAACAGCAGTATCAGCAGCAGCACTAGCACCAGCAGTAGCCCCAATAACTGCAGCAGCAGCGGAGAAGCCGCCCGCGCTGCAGCGTTTGGGGGGCAGCTAGTTTGCTGCTGCACCGCTGCTGCTGCTGCAGCAGCAAAGCGCAGCAGCGGGAAGGCTCTAAACAGCAGCTGCAAAGCAGCAAATAGCCCGTGTCCTTTTGCTGCTGCTTGCTGCTGCTTGCTGCTGGCTGCTGCTGCTCCTTCAAGTGCCTCTTTTATAGGGACTTCGGCAACTGTCTGTGTCTTCACTTCGGCAGCAGCAGCAGCAACAGCAGCAGCAGCTGCTGCTGCTGCTGCTGCTGCCCGCTGCTTGTGTCTGCCTAATGCCTCATTTGGGGCTTCTTTGTGTCTTTGTGCCTCTAAATGTCTCATTTTGTTCATTTGTTTCTTCATTTGTTTCTTCATTTGTTTCTTTATTTGCTTCTTTATTTGCTTCTTCATTTGCTTCTTCATTTGCTGCCTGTTCTTCATTTAAAAGCTCCAGCGCATGCAAAAGCACCTGCTGCTCTTTCTGCTGCGCTGCTGCAGGAAGAGTGGAAACAAAAATGGACCATTGGTCCACTGGCTCCCTTTCAGAGCCCGCCGGTGGACCTCAAAAGAGCCCATGGGGCTCAGCCAGCAGCAGCAGCAGCAGCAGCAGCAGCAGCAGCAGCAGCAGCAGCAGCAGCAGCAGGTTGCTGCAGCAGGGCGGCCTCGGGCGCTGCGTGTACTTCGCAGCTAGCTGCCGAGCCTGCTGTGGGGCCGAGACGGCAGCAGCTAATAAAAGAGCAGCAGAAGCATTTTGATTATAAACTGCAGCAGCAAAGCCGGGGCTGAAGCTGCAGCAGCAGCAGCAGACTGCTGCAGCATGCTGCAGCAAAGTGCACAGACACTTTGGCCCTGCATGCTCTTGCTGTGGGGCCCCACAGGCCTTTTGGCCTTTCACGTGGGGGCCCCCCTTAGGCAATTTTAATTCCAATTAGTCCCTTAAAACATTTAAATTCCTTTTCCGGGACTTTGCAGAACTTTCACAAAACACATAAGGGCTTTTTTATCCCCTAAACTTCTCTTTGCAGAAAACAGCAGCAAAATAACACTCTATGCCCCCCCACATAACCCACAGCACACACACCAGCTGGAGGCCCCCAGGGGCCCCCTAGGGGCCCCCCAGAGGTCCCCCAGGGGCCCTCCCAGGGGCCCTCCAGGGCCCCCCCAGGGGCCCCCCAGGGGCCCCCCATGGGCCTCCCGCGCGCATTATGCATGCGCTGCATGCGCGCAGCACCTTTTTGCATGCACTGCATGCACTGCATGCGCTGCATGCATGCATGCGCTGCATGCATGCATGCGCTGCATGCGCTGCATGCATGCATGCGCTGCATGCGCTGCATGCATGCATGCGTGCATGCATGCATGCATGCATGCATGCATGCATGCATGCATGCATGGACGCATGCATTTATGCGGGGCTTTGGGAGTCTTCTTCTTGGGAAGCGAGGACAAGTCCTCTGTAGACTCCGTTGGGGATTTGCATGAGTTGCTGGTGAGTTCCGACTTCAACAACTTTGCTGCCTCTGCTGCCGCTTTGCTGCAGCACAATAATCTTATCAGCATTTCTGACAGTGGAGAGCCTGTGGGCAATCAGAATCGTGCTTCTCCTCCCGCTCCCGCTGCTGCTGCTGCTGCTGCTGCTGCTGCTGCTGCTGCTGCTGCTGCTGCGCAGCAGCGAGTCCAGCGTGCGCTGCACCTGCCGCTCGCTCTCCGCGTCCAAGGCCGAAGTGGCTTCGTCGAGAATTAAAAGCTGCGGCTGCCGCAGCAGCGCGCGGGCAATTGCAATTCGCTGCCGCTGCCCCCCCGACAGCAGCAGCCCCCCCGCCCCAGCAGCAGTTTCGTATCCTTCTGGCAGCTCGGAAATAAACCCGTGAGCGTTCGCCAAACGAGCGGCCTCCTCAATCTCGCTCTGCAGCAGCAGCAGCAGCAGCAGCAGCAGCAGCAGTGGCAGCAGCAGCAAGCGCGACCGCCGCAGCAGCCAGGACGGCAGCTGCAGCAGCCAGAACGGCAGCTGCAGCAGCAGCTTGTGTCCATTTCCCCAGCAGCAGCAGCAGCAGCAGCAGCAGCAGCAGCAGCAGCAGCAGCAGCAGCAGCAGCGGGAGCCTCACCTGCGTGGCATCTGGGCGTGAAAAGGCAATGTTGTCTCGGATGGAAAGATTGAAAAGAACAGGTTCTTGACTGACGAGGCCAATGTGGGATCGAAGGCGAATTAAGTTGAAGTCCAGAATATCCTTATCTCCCACGACGATCCTCCCGGGCCCCTGCTGCTGCTGCTGCTGCTGCTGCTGCTGCTGCTGCTGCAGCGCAGCGCCCGCGGGCACCGCAGTGGAGCGCTCCAGGTCATAGAACCGCAGCAGCAGCTGCACTGCTGTGGACTTCCCGCAGCCAGAGGGCCCCACAAGAGCCACAGTCTCTCCGGGATTTACAGCAAAGTCCACTTCGCTGTAAATTTGCTGCTGCGGCCTCGCGGGGTACGCGAAAGACACATTTTCAAACCTCACTTTCCCCACAAAGTCCTCCGGGGGCCCCCCGGGGCCTCGCGGGTGTCGATGCGGGACTTTCTGTCGATGACCCCGAAGACTGCAGCGAGGGCTTTGCGGGCGCGGCGGGCGTCTGCGCTGTAGACTGCAGCAAAGCCGAGTCCAGAAGCAGCGAAGACCATGGGAAAGAGAGAATTGAGAATTTTGTCGAAGTCCGAAGTGGCCGTGGCCACGAGGCGGCCCCCGTACCAGAGGGCCAGGGCGAAGACGAAGAACTGGGCACTTTGGGAGAGGCCCCAAGAAAGCCCCAGGGCCCCCGCTCTGCATGCGCTTCCCCGCAGGCCCTCCTTTGCTGCTGCTGCATGCTTAGCAGCAAAGTGGGGCTCCAGGCCGAGGGCCATCACCACGCGGATGCTCGCCAGGGCCTCTGCGAAGACCCCGGAGGCCCCCTCGGGGGCCCCCTGGGGGCCCCCCTCCAAGTGGCCGTGGCCACGAGGCGGCCCCCGTACCAGAGGGCCAGGGCGAAGACGAAGAACTGGGCACTTTGGGAGAGGCCCCAAGAAAGCCCCAGGGCCCCCGCTCTGCATGCGCTTCCCCGCAGGCCCTCCTTTGCTGCTGCTGCATGCTTAGCAGCAAAGTGGGGCTCCAGGCCGAGGGCCATCACCACGCGGATGCTCGCCAGGGCCTCTGCGAAGACCCCGGAGGCCCCCTCGGGGGCCCCCTGGGGGCCCCCCTCCGGGGGGCCCCCCTCCGGGGGGCCCCCCTGCTGGGGGCCCCCCCGGCGGGGGCCCCCGGGGGCCCCCTTCTGCGCGGGCGGGGGGGCCCCCACGCTGAGGCGGGGCCTGCTGAGCTGCTGCTCGAGGCCCACAGCAGCAGCGGAAAGCAGGAAGGTGGCGAGCAGCAGCAGCGCGAGCTGCCAGCAGCAGCAAAAGCCAATGAGGAGGCCCCCGAGAAGCGCGAAAAGGCCGTGGAAAAGCGCAACAAAGTTGCCAGTTGCTGCAGCAGCAACGAGGGCCACATCGCCAGTCAAAAGACTCACGAGGGCCCCCACGGAGTGGCGAGGATCGTCGAAAAAAGCCATTTCTTGGTGAATTAAACTTTCAAAAGCCTGGGCCCGCAGCCGGCGGGCCAGCCTGGCGGCCAAGAACTCCTTGCAAAACTGCTTCAGCAGCTCCACAGGCAGCCGCAGCAAAACGTACAGAGTCAGCAGCAAAGCCCACAAGTCCGTGGAGGCCCTGAGGGCCCCCGGGTCCGGCTTGGAGAGGGCCCCCAGGAACTGCCCCAGCAGCAGCCCCAGCAGCGGGAAGCTCAGCCCCGAGAGGCCCGCGCTGCACAGCAGCGCAGCAAAGGCCGGCCACTCCGGCAGCAGCAGCAGCACTGCACGACTTAGTCGTGCACGGCTCTTCGCGGCTTCGGGGAGGCCCCGCAGGGTCAGCTTCGCCAGCAGCGCGGGGGCCCCGGGGGCCCCCAGCCCCGCGGCGGACTCCGCCAGCTCCCGCGCGCAGTTCGAGGGGGCCCCCGAGCCCTCCGAGCCCTCCGAGGCCTCCGAGGGGGCCTCTTCGGGGGCCCCCGGGGCCCCCGGGGCCCCCGCGGCCTCCGCCAGTTCCCAGTCCCGGCCCTCCGCGGGGCCCCCTGCTGCAGCGCCCGCAGCCGCAGCAGCAGCAGCAGCAGCAGCAGCGGCGGGCGGGGGGCCCCCCGGCGGCAGCGCGAGGGGGGGCCCCTCCTGCGCCGCCTGGGCCCGGAAAAGCCGGTAAAAGGGGCCCCCCGTGTCCCGCAGCAACTCCTGGGGGGCCCCCCGCTGCACCACGCGGGCCCCCAGCCCCGGGACTGCGTCCAAGACCACAACTTCGTCCACGTTTTGCACAGCTGAGAGCCTGTGGGCCACCACCAAGGTGGTGGTCTTTGCTGCAGCAATAACGCTGTCAAGAGCTTGCTGCACTTGTCTTTCGGACTTAGCGTCGAGAGCAGAAGTGGCTTCGTCCAGCAGCAGCAGCAAAGGCTGCCGCAGCAAAGCCCGCGCCAGAGCCAGCCGCTGCTTCTGGCCCCCCGACAGCTGCGCCCCCCCAGCCCCGCAGCGCGTGCTGTAGCCCTGCGGCAGCTGCAGCACGAAGCTGCTTGCATGCGCTCGTGCTGCTGCTGCTTCCACTGCAGCAAACGGCTTCGCCTCCCTGCAGCCCAGCCGGATGTTCTCCTCGATCTGCCCACAAACGCCCAAATTATCTCCAACAAATTCAAAACTTACCAACATAATTCATAATTATTCAAATATAACTCAAAAATAAATAAAAAATAAATAAAAATAACTCAAAAATAACCCCAAAATTACTCAAAAATATCTCAAAATAACCAAAATGTGCCCGAGGAGGCGAACGCGGGGAAACGCAAGGGAAGGAAAGCAACTCAAATGCAGCAAAAAATGGGTCCAAAGAAGCAAAAAGAAGTCAATTAAAAGAAGAAATTAAAGGAAATAAAAAAGACAAGTAAAGCGCCGAAAGAAAGGGAAAAAGAGGCGCTGAAAAGGCCAAAAAACGAGAAAAAAAGACGCGGCCACCAGGTGTCTGTACACCCCGCAGGCGCGGGAGCTGGGATCGACCCCACACCCCCAGGTGTATGTACAGCCCACAGTGGTGGAAAACAGCCGAGGCTCCTGCATCACAACTCCGATCTGAGATCGATACCAACTAATGTTCAAAGTCCTTATGTCTCTGCAGCAGCCAACAAACGCAGCAGCAGCAAAACATTATTTCCAGGGGCCCCTTTCAACACGCCTTCGGGGCCCCTTCGGGGCCCCTTTGCCTCCCCTTTTGGAACTTTCTCTGTACCCTTTTGGGGCCCCTTTGGGGCCCCTCTAGAACCCCTTTGGGGCCCCTGTAGAACTCCTTGGGCCTCCTTCAGGGCCCCTCTTGCACTTCCTGGGGGCCCCTTTTGTGACCCTTTAAGCCCCCCCTGGACCCCCCTTTGCTCCCCTTTATACCCCTCTAAGTGCGCCCCCCTGTATCCCTTAATGCCCCCACTGGCTCCCCCCTGTGGGGCCCCTGTGGGTCCCCTGTGGAGCCCCTGTGGGGCCCCTGTGGGGCCCCCCGGGGGCCCTCGGGCCGGGTTTGGGGTCCCCTGGGGCCCCCCGGGGGCCCCAGGGGCCCCCAACCCCCCCTGGGGCCCCCCGGGGCCCCCCGGGGGCCCCCGGGCGGGTTAGGGGCCCCTGGGGGGCGGAGGCGGACCTGCCGGCGACTTCGACGGAGCCGGAGTCGGGGTCGTAGAGGCGCTGCAGCAGCTGCAGCAAAGTGGACTTGCCGGCGCCGGAGGGGCCCACGAAAGCCACGGACTTGCCGTGGGGAATTGTGAGGGAAAAGTCCTTGAAGACGGGGGCCCCCTGGCGGGCTGGGTAGGCGAAGGAAACGGCCTTGAAGGCAATGTCGCCTTGGAGCGAAACATTTTTTTCTCCTTTTTCCGAAAATGGATTTATTTCCGAAACTCCTTTTTCCACTTCTTCCAGACTCTTCGCTGCGGCCTGCGCCTTCAAGAACAACCCCACACTTTCTAACACGTTTCCCAAACTAAACGCCGCCATCAGCAGACACACAGATATCACGAAGGCCGCGCCCCCCTGAAACTCGGGCCGCAGCGGGGGGCCCCCCCCGGGGGCCCCCCCGGGGGCCCCCCCGGGGGCCCCCCCGGGGGCCCCCGGGGCCCCGGGGGGCCCCGGGGGGTCGAGCTGCTGCAGCTGCTGCAGGTGCTGGAGGTGCTGCTGCTGCTGCTGCAGCTGCTCCCAGCCAGCAGCAACTTTTCTGCCGCTGAGGTAGAAGACGAGGGCAAACATGGCGAAGACCGAAGATATGAGGCCCGCCATGCCAAGGCCAGAGAAGAGGCCCCCGCGAGCAGCAGCAGCTTCTGCTGCTGCTATGTGCTGCTGGTAGCGGGCCTTGGAGGCCCCCTCTTGGCCGAAGGCAGCAACAGTGCGGGGGGCCCCCAGGGCCTCTGCAGCAACAGCGCCCGCAGCTTCGAGCGCAGCAGCAGCAGCAGCAGCAGCGCGGCGCAGCGCAGCAGCCAGCAGCGCCCCGAAAGCCACTGCTGGCAGCAAACCTGCTGCAGCACACAGAGTCACTTCCCAAGAAGTCACTAGTGCTGCAGCAAGAGACCCCACAACCAGCAGCAAGTTGTACGGGATCGCCACGAACTTGAGGCCGATCCCCTCGCGCAAGTCGGCCAAACTGCTGTCGAGTTTTGCTGCCAAAGAGCCCGCGTCTTGGCGGTCGAACCAGCTGAGTTGCTGCTGCAGCACAGCAGCAACGAAGCTGCTGCGCCGCCGCGCCGCCAGCCGGTCTGCTGCTGCTTCGAAGCAGCAGCAAGACACCCCCTGCAGCAGCAAGTTCAGGGCCCCCGCCACGGCCATTTGCTTCACGGGGCCCCCCACTGCCACCCCGCTGCTCAAGTTGTCTATTGTGGCCCCCATGGACACGAAAAAGTACGGCAGCAGCAGCCCCGAGAGGGCCCCCATGAGGGCCCCCGCCCCCAGCAGCACCGCCTCCGCCTTCCGCGCAGCCATAAACGGCGCCAGCAGCTCCCGCAGCAGGGGCCCCCGCCGGGGGCCCCCCTCCCCGGGGGCCCCCCAGCAGCCGCCCCGCAGCCCCTTCCAGGGGGCCCCCCAGCAGCGGCCCCGCAGCCCCTTCCGGGGGGCCCCCGCGGGGCCCCCGGGGGCCCCCGAGGCGCTCGGCGGCGGCGGAGGCGGCGGCGACGCGGAGCCCATCGGGATGCAAACCCAGCAACGACCCAAAAAGACAAAAATAACCTTTTTTAATATTTAAAATGAACTTTAAAGCAGCAAGAAGGGGCCCCGGGGCTGCTCGAATGCCGGGGAGGCCCCGGAGCCGAGACGGAGGCGCACACACAAGACGCGGCGAGACCACGCCGCCCGGAGCCCGCGCCGCCGGTAAAAAACCGAAAAATCAAATTAAAACTATTTTAAAAGGTTTATTTCATTCAAAATTTACATTTAACTCCAGACTGAGCCCCCGGAACGCCCCCCGCGAAGACCCACACGCCGCGAGCGACAGGGATGTTCAGACACCCGGCGCTCCCGAGCCCCCTATCGCTGTCTAGGTTGCTGGCCGCCTCCCTAGCCTTCCCAATAGCTCTTTTAATTTCTTTCTCTCTTTTTACCTCATTTAAATTCAAAAACTTAACTTTTAAAACCCAAAAAATGCCAAAAAGAACGAAGATTCGCAGCAGCGGCTTGCAGCCGACGAGGACCACCGACTGCTCGCTGCCTGACTGCGCGTGCTCCCTCCGCCTCAGTGTTTTAGCTGAAATAGTATTCATTAATAAATTAATTTATTTTTTAATTAATATATTTATTCATTTATTAATCAATTAATTCATTATCTACGCAGTTTGCCGAAGTGTTGGCCTGCAACGCCGTGCACTCCGCCGACGACCCCAGCCTCGGGAGTCTCGGGAGACCCAAAGGCAGCGAAATAACTCAAATTCAGCAGCAGCAAAACAAAAAATAAATTCAAATATTTATTTGTATCTAGGGTTTAGGGTTTAGGGTTTAGGGTTTATGAAGAGGCTGCACGAATGCGTGGAGTGCAGACCCGCCCGCGGGTTTGTCTAGGGTTTACGGGCCTGGGATTCCGTAGAAGCTAGGGTTTAGGGTTTAGGGTTTATAACTCGTCAAAACCCCCGTCTTATTTGTATTCTTTCTGCTGCTCTTCAAATGCCATTTGCTGCAGCTCTAATGCCTTTTTGTGGGGCCTTTAAGAAAAAAGAAAAACTCATTTTTAAACTTTTAATCTTCCGAGAGCTGCGGTGTACATACAGCCCGTGGGTGCTAGTGGCTGCTCGCAGCGCAGCAGCAAATTCAGAAGTCTCTGCAGGCTGCGCTTTCCGGCCTCTACTGCAGCAGCAGCAGCAGCAGCAGCTGTTGCTGCTGCCAAGAGTTTCGCCCTGGAAAAGCAAGCTGAGGAGTTCTCCTCAAAAGAGATTCAGCAGCAGCAGCAGCAGCAGCAGCAGCAGCAGCAGCAGCAACTAAATGGGCCCAAAAGGCTGCGGGACCCACTGTCGATATATAAGATTTGAGGCCTTTGGGCCTGGCCCCAGCTGCTGCGGGCAGCAGCAAGCAGCAAAATAATGATTAAAGGTCTAGTATCTTTATTGATGCTAGTATTGATGCTAGGGCAGCAGCAGCACGAGCAGCAGCAGCAGCAGCAGCAGCAAAAGCAGCAGCAGCACGAGCAGCAGCAGCAGCAGCAGCAAAAGCAGCAGCAGCAGGGTTTTCCTCCTTTGTAGATAAGCTCGACCACTGAGAGAGAATGCCACGCTTATGGGGACTGCGAGAAATGTAGACGAAGTGCAGCAGCAGCAGCAGCAGCAGCAGCAGCAGCAGCAGCAGCAAAAAAACAGAGGAATAGGACTTTTGAGACTGTGTTGAAGCAGCCACAAATGAGATTGTTAGACGCAGAGGGAGGCGGGGGGCAGCAGGGGCCCCAGCTCGCTGCAGCGGCTAGTTCTGCTGCAGCTGCCTGTTTGCAGCAGCACATGCTGCTGCTGCAGCAGCAGCAGCAAAGCATCTGCTGCAGCTGCAAGCAGCTAGCTGCACCCGTAGGCCCGACGCAGCTCCCGCTGCCTGCGGATGTGCTCCAGTCGCAGCCGCGTGAGCCGTCCCTCGCCCTCCCCACAAAACTGCAGCACAGCAGCAGCAGCAGCAGCAGCAGCAGCAGCAGCAGTAGCAGCAGCAGTAGTAGTAGCAGCAACAGCAGTGAGAACAGCAGCAAAGCTCAGCTCCACGCTCGTTGAGCTTTCCGAACTTGTGCACTTGTTGCTAAAGTTGCTGCTCTGGGCCCGCTGCTAGTGCTGCTGCTGCTATTGCTGCTACTGCTGTTGCTGCTGCTGCTGTTGCTGCTGCTGCTGCTGCTGCTGCTGCTGGCCACTGGCTTACAAGCAAACGCGTTTGCAGGCCCATGATCCTTAGCGTGTCGCGGAGGTCTGCAAAGACAGGGCATTCCGCAGTTGAACTCAAACCCTAAACCCTAAACCCTAAACCCTAAACCCTAAACCCTAAACCCTAGACCCTAAACCCTAAGTTCTAACTATCAAAGGCGAAAGACGCGGCTTGCTGCTGCTGAGAAACACCAAAGTACCTGCTGTGGTGTTTTGCCTGCGGAGGCAGCGCACACAAACGCACTTTTACCCATAAACAGCAGCAGCAGCAGCAGCAGCAGCAACAGCGGCAGCAGCAACAGCAGCAAAAGAAGCTGCAAAACACGGTGCAGCAAATCAGGCAGCAGTAGAAATTAAAGCAGCCGCCTGGCCAAAAGCAGCAAGGAGCTGCCAAAAGGTGCAGCAGCAGCAGCAACAGCGACACACGTCAACACCGCAGCGTGCCGCTGCAGCAGCTGCAGCAGCAGCCGCAACCCCAGCAAGCGCAACAACAGCAGCAACCCCAGCAACCGCAACAGCAGCAGCAACTGCAGCAGCAACAGCAACAGCAGCAGCAACAGCTACAGCAGCAGCAGCAACAGCTACAGCAGCAGCAACAACAGCTACAGCAACAGCAGCAGCAACAGCTACAGCAGCAGCAGCAACAGCAACAGCAGCAGCAGCAACAGCAACAGCAGCAGCAGCAGCAGCAGCAGCAGCAGCAGCAGCAGCAGCAGCAGCAGCAGCAGCAGACCAGTCATGCGCGGAAAAGGCGTAAGACAAGTTGAGGAAAGAGCCCCAGCGGGGGTCGCCGTCGAGTCTTCTTTTGATTTCGGTGTACATACACCCCGCAGCAATGCCCCCCAAGTGGCCCGCCCAAGACACCGAGCGCAGCAGCAGCGCCACTTTTCCTTTTCCGAATTTCGAAATTAAATAAAATAAAACATTTAAAGACAAGTTCAGCTGAGACAGCTGCAACGCAGTCAGCATCAGCCCTGCGAACCAGCAGCAGCAGCAGCAGCAGCAGCAGCAGCAGCAGCAGCAGCAGCAGCAGCAGCAGCAGCGGCGGCGGGGGAAGGTCTTGTCAGCAGCGGCAAAAGCAGCAGCGAAAGCGTTGCCAGCAGCAGGAGTAATGGCATCTCCGGCAGCAGCAGCAGCGGCACACGAGACACCCGCAGCAAAAGCAGCAGCAGCAGCAGCAGCAAACGAAACAGCCCCAGCAAGAGCAACAGCAGCAACTCGGATAGACTTAGCAGCAGCAGCAACTGAGACAAGCGTTGCTGCGGCAGCAGCAAAGGCAAAAGCAGCAGCAGCACCGCGACAAAGACAGCAACAGCAGCAGCAGAAGCACCACGACGAAGGCAGCCACAGCAGCAGCAGCAGCAGCAGCAGCAGCAGCAGCAGCAGCAGCAGCAGCAGCAGCAGCAGCAAGGTACCCGGGAGCGGCAGTATGGTCATGAAGGTGTCTCTGCTGCGGCAAACTCCTTCCACCCAAAGGAGGCAGCAGGCGAAGCTGGAGGCCCCCAAGACTGGCACTGTGCTGCAGCAAATGTGAGCAGCAACTCCCAGCAGCGAGGACAGCAGCAGCAAACCCCACACGTCCTGGCCCCGCAGCACGGGCTCCAGCTGCTGCAGCAGCAGCTGCAGCAGGAAGCAGTTCATCAGGAAGTGCGGCAGGCCCGCGTGGCTCAAACCTGCGCAGCAGCAGCAGCAGCAGCAGCAGCGAGTGAAGCATCCAAATTAGCAGCAGCAGCAGCAGCAGCAGCAGCAGCTGCAGCAGCGGCACGAACCTCAGCAGCGTGAGGGCAGCACAGCAAATGAAAAGGCACTATGCAAAGCGGCACCAAGTGAGTGGCTGCTTCTTCTTCTGCTGCTGCTGCTGCTGCAGTTGCTGCTGCTGCTGCAGTTGCTGCTGCTGCTGCTGCTGCTGCTGCTGCCTTACTGGCCGTGAAGATTGTGTGGAGCCTCCCAGCCCTGAGGGCCTCGCGGGAGGCAGTGAAGTGCCGCAGCAGCAGCTGCAGCAGCTTGCTGCCCCAGTTGCTGCTGCTTGCTGCAGCAGCAGCAACACGCCAAGAGAGAAAGACAGCTCCGGCCGTGTACAGCAGCAGCCGGGAAGCAGCAGCAGAGCTGCCCCAGAAGCTCCGCTGCTGCTGCTGCTGCTGCTGCTGCTGCTGCTGCTGCTGCTGCTGCTGCTGCTGAGGGCGCCGCAGCAGCTGCTGCTGCTGCTGCATCGACGAGGGAAACCGCGGCCTCAGCACAGCTTGCCAGTGGCTTGCCACAGACAGCAAACGGCAGCAGCTGCTGCAGCTGCTGCTGCAGCTGCTGCTGCATGCATTTAAAGGAAACACCACCAGGGGGCCCCAGGGGCCCCCCGGGCCCCCGGGGCCCCAGGGGCCCCAGGGGCCCCCACGGCCCTGGGGGCCCCCGGGGCCCCCACAGCCCTGGGGGCCCCCAGGGCCCCGGGGGCCCCCAAGCTGGTGGGGGGGCCCCCCGAAGTGTGGGGCCCCGAGGGAGGCTGGGGGCAGCAGAAAGGGCTGGAAGTGGAGGTGAGAAGAGGGACTAAAGAAGCTGCGGTGGGCCCCACTTTTTGGGAGAAGGAATGGCTGCTGCTGCTGCTGCTGCTGCTGCTGCTGCTGCTGCTGCTGCTGAAGAGTCGGCGGCGGAGGGAATCTGAAGCGGAAGCTGTGCAGGCAACGGGGGCGCAGCAGCAAAGGTTTGGGGCCGCACGAAGCTCGGGGCAGCGCTGCTGCTGCTGCTGCTCTTGCTGCTGCTGCTGCTGCTGCTGCCGACGCTGCTGCACGGGCAGCAAAAGGGAGGGGGGCCCCCATGGGCCCGCAAACTCTCAAGAGGGCCCCCCAGTGCTGCCTGCAGCACCACATTGTGGGGCCCCCTTCAGGTTGCTGCTGTCATGGTTGCGCAGCTGCAGCTGCTGCTCCTGCTGCTGGTCTTCTGCTGCTGTTGCTGCTGCTGCTGCTGCTGCTGCTGCTCCGCTGCTGCAGCAGCAAGATGCACAGCACAGGCGCAGATTATGAACCTGAGGCAGAGGCTCAAAATAAATAATAAACAAAGCTTTGAGATTCAAAAATAAAGGACAGGGAGCATGGCTGTGCTGCTGCTGCTGCTGCTGCTGCTGCTGCTGCTCGTGCAGCAGCAACAGCTCGAGGGGGCCCCCCGGGGGCCCCCGTCCTCCAGGGCCCCTCAAAACCCATTATTTTGTTTAAGTTATTTGCATGCAGTCAAAATACTTTTTTAAAAGTAATGCAGAAGTGGAAGTTGCAGACTGCTGCCTCTTACGGAGTGAAATGCCGGGTGTACATACACCTGAGAGCTGCGGGCTCTTCTGCTGCTGCCAGCAGCAGCAAAAGCTGCTGCCTTCCTTTCTTTTCCGCGTCTTCTTCCCCAATTATCTTTTATAAATGTCTTCCTTTGTTGCTGCCTGAAGCTGCTGCGTTGCTGCGGCTGCTGCTGCCGTTGCTGCTGCTGCTGCTCCTGCTGCTGCTACTCTAGCTGCTGCTGCTACTCCTGCTGCTGCTGCTGCTGCTGCTCATAAGCGAAGGCCCTGGGAGCCTGGGCTGTCTGACTTGAGCTGCTGCTGCGCTGGTCTCCTTTTGCTGCTGCTGCGGCTGCTGCTGCTTCTGGCGCTGCTGCTGCAGCTGCTGCTGCAGCTGCTGCTGCAGCTGCTGCTGCTGCTGCTGCTGCAGCAGCTGCTGCTGGAGTCCTTCTCTCTCCTTTGCCCATTCCAGCTAACCCTGGAAGCTCCTGGGTGCAGCTCAAAGCAGAACTTTTATACATTTTAAATCTTCTTGAACTTGCATTTCCTTTTTGTTCTTTTTTGTTTCTTTTTGTTCTTTTTTGTTTTTTTTCTTTTTTTCTTTTTTTCTTTTTTATTTCTTTATTGTCCTTTTTGTTTGTTTTTGTCTCTTTTTGCTTCCTTTTGTTCACCTCAAAACTCTTTTGGTTTTATTTACTTTTTCTCTTTTCTTCTTTTTTCGTTTTTTTCCTTTTCGTTTTTTTCACTTTTTTATTTTTTGTTTTTTCTCTCTCTGTTTCTTTTTTCTTTCTTTTATTTATTCCTTTTTATTTCTTTTCGTTTCACTTTGTTTCATTTTGTTTCTTATTTCATTTAATTTCTTTTTTCTTTTATTTCTTTATTTCTTTTTATTTCTTTTTATTTCTTCTTTATTTCTTTTTATCTTTTTCATATTTTCTTTTAGCCTGGAGTCTTTCTGGTGGAGATACAGCATCTTTTAAGGAACAAAAGAAGAGATTTAAATTAAAATTTAAAATTAAAATTAAAAATAAATTTCGAAATTTAATTAACATTTAAATTAAAATTTAAAATTAAAATTCAAATTCAAAATTTCGAAATTTAATTAATTAAAAAATGAATTAATTCACTATTAAGGACATTTCTGCTGCTTCCTGAGCCACTGCTGCAGCTCCTCATAGCTGGAAGCAAAAACACAATTTTTAATTTTTATTTATTTGTTTTATTTTATTTTTGTCTCTTTTCCCTGTCAGTTAATCTAGCTGCTGCTGCTGTTTCTGGGGCTGCAGCAGCAGCCCGGAGGGGCCCCCTTGCTGCTGCACTGCCTTTTGGGCCCCTTGCGCTGCTGCTGCTGCTGCTGCTGCTGCTGCTGCTGCTGCTGCTGCTGCTGCTGCTGCTGCTGTTTCTCTGTGGCTTCTTTTGCTGTGTCTGTGGCTGTCTTTCTGTCTCGGCTCTGTCCCTGGGGACATCTCCTGCGCCTGCTGCCTCTGCAGCAGCAGCAGCAGCAGCAGCGAAAGCGGCAGCAGCAGCAGCAGCACTCACAGCGCCTCTAGCAGCAGCAACAGCACAGTGCCGGTAGCAGCAGCAACAGCCGCAAAGGCGCCAGTAGCAGCAGCAACAGCCAGAGCAGCACAGTTCACGCAGCAGCAGCAACAGCAGCAACAGCACCGGCTACAGCAGCAGGAACAGCAGCAGTATTAGCACCAGCGGTAGCAGCACCGGCAGCAGCAGCAGCAGCAGTAGTAGCAGCAGCAGCAGCTACTCCACCTTGGATTAAGACTAGACACTCCTACAGCTACTGTTTGCTGCTGCAGCCTGCAGCAGGAAGCAGGGCTGGGGCAAATGGGGCCCCCTGCTGCAGCAGCAAACCCTTTGCTGCTGCAGCAGCAAAGGGTGGCCGCTGGCTGGCAGCAGCAGAGCCAAGCTCGGGGCGCGCAGGGGGCCCCCCCTTCTGCTGCTGAGGGGGCCCCCCAGCTGCTGCTGGGGGCCCCCCAGCTGCTGCTGGGGGCCCCCCAGCAGGAGGTGGGGCTTCTGCGCAGAATTCGGGGGCCCCCAGTGCAGGCAGAGCAGCAGGAGGGGCAGCAGCAGGCTGCTGCTGCAGCAGCACGCTGCTGCTGCAGCAGAAAGCCGGGGGAGGAGCCAGGGGAGCAGCAAAGGCAGGAGGGGAGGCCCTGGGGGGCCCCCCCGGGGGTTTTGCGAGCGGCGTCGCTCGTGTGGGGCCCCACAGGCACTCTGCAACATTTAATAAATTAATTTGGCAGCTAAAAAGACCAAAAGGGGCTGCGGAAGACAGGGGCTGGGAGCAGTGGGGGCTTGGGGTGTACAGACAGCCCGGGCCGGGGCGTGGGGGCGACGCTCCCCCGAGGGCGAGGCCGCGGGGGCAAGAGGCGCAGCTTTGAGGCTGCTGCTGCGGCTTTTTGTTTTATTTATTTGTCGAAAAGGTTTAATTAATGTTTGCAAGTTCATTTGGAGTCCAAAGAGGCCCTGGGGAGCCCCGGTGACCCCATGTGTGACCAGTGGTGCACCCCCGGACTGCAGCAGCCCAGTGGCAGCACCAGTGGGAGCAGCAGGACACACTGCTGAGCAGCAGGGCCTTTGAAAGCCTTTAGTGTTGCATTTAAGCTGCATTTTGAGGAACAAAGCACAAATGGCATTGCTTGTTCGCCCACTGCAGCGAAGAGAAGCAGCAACAGCAGCAGCAGCAGCAGCGGCAGCAGCAGCAGCAGCATCTCCTGCTGCCAGCAGCAGCACCAGCAGCCCACGCAGCGACACCACCGCAGGCCTCCAACGTCCCTAGGGCTTGGACAGTTTTCTCTGTTTGTTTTTGACGCGCGTCGGGCTCTCAAGGCTGGCCAAGGGGCCCAGCAGCAGCTGCAAAGTAGCAGCAGCAGCAGCAGCAGCAGCAGCAACGAGCCACCCGGCCCCCATCTTCTCTGCTTACGCTCCCCCCCGCCCCCCCCTGGGATCGGCTGGTCCCTTTTGCCTCTAGGGGGGGCCAGGCTGGGCCTTGCATGCAGCAGGGCTCCGGGGCAGCTTGAGTTGCTGCAGGGGAAGCAGCAGCAGCAGCCGCCCCCGCTGCTGCTGCTCTTTTTGCTGCTCCAGCTGCTGCTACAGGGAGCCCTTCGGCCCCCAACTTCTTTTGGAGCAGCAGCAGCAAACTGCAGCAACCACAAAGCGCGGCGCCTGTCCGTCCCACGCAGTTGAGAGTTTGACGCGTGAGTGCTGCTGCTGCTGCTGCTGCTGCTGTTGCTTCCGTTGCTGCTGCTGCTGCTGCTGCTGCTGCTTTTAGTGTGCCTGCTGCTGCTGGTGCCGTGTTGCGCGCTGCCAGGACATGGCGTGTGGCTGTCTGCTGCTCCAGCTCACGGCCTGCGCTGCTTTTTGCTTCCTTGAATTGTTGCTGCCTGTGCTGCTGCTGCTGCTGCTGCTGCTGCGCTTCCACTGCTGCTGCTGCTGCAAGCGCTGCTGTGGGGGCTCGTTTCGGTGCTGCTGTGACCTCCCATGCTGCTTCTGCTGCATCTCCGTCACTGTGCTGCTTCAGTGACTGCAGCAGCTGCTGCACTTGCTTCTGCTGCCTGAGGCGGTGTGTTTGCTGCTGCTGAAGCTGCTGCTGTGGCTGCTGCTGCTGCTCTTGCTGGCACTGCAGTTGCTGCTGCAGAAATTCGTGCTGCAGCTGCTGCTGTGGCTGCTGTGGCTGGTGTTGCTGCAGCCTTTCCAGAGTTGCGGGCGTTCGCGTGGTCGCTGGCGTCGCAGCAGCAGCTGCTGCTGCTGCTGCTGCTGCTGCTGCTGCTGCAGGTGCTTCTGCTGCTTTTATCAAGATGATCCGGAGACTCTCTTCTTCGGAGTTGAAGCTGCTGCCGCTCGGGGAACGAGGCGATCCCCGGGGATCGTTCGATCCCGTGCTGGTCAATCTGCTGTCAATGGGGCTGCATGCAGAAGCAGCAGAAGCAGCAGCAGCAGCAAAGCCCTTTGCCCTGGACTCTCCCCGGGGGGGGGCCAGCGCATGCGGCGACCTCTTGTGCGGTGCGCAGGAGAGGCAGCAGCAGCAGCAGCAGCAGCAGCAGCAGCTGCAGCAGCAGCAGCTGCTGCTGCAGCAGCAGCAGTCGGCAGGCGTGTTTCTGCTGCTGCAGCAGCAGCAGGAACAGCAGACACTCAGGAGACGCTCCACCTGCTCCCACACACTTCATCAGTGGCAGCAGCAGCTGCAGCTGCAGCAGCAGCAGCAGCAGCAGCAGCAGCTTTCCCTGCTGCAGACAGGGGACCCGCAGCACAATGTGTGTCTTCGCCGCCGACACAGCAGCAGAGGCGCTGTGGGCTTTGGGGACTGCGGGCTGCAGCAGCAAAGGGAGGACTTGTTGAGTTGCTCTCCGTACCATGCTGACGCATGCGCAGCAGCAGCAGCAGCAGCTGCTGCTGCTGCAGCAGACGCCACAGACGCAGCAGCAGCAGCTGCTGCTGCTTCTTGCAGTGTGCTGACAATGGAGGACCCTTTTTTCAGTGTAGCAGTAAGTGCAGCTCCCTGGACTTTATTTGCAGCAGCAAAAGTCGGAGGCTGCTGCTGCTAATGCTGCTGCTGATGTTGCTGCCGATGTTGCTGACGCTGTGGCTGCTGCTGCTGCTGCTGCTGCTGCTGCTGATGCCGGTGATGCTGCTAACGCTGCTTCTGGTGCTGGTGCTGCAACCTCTACTCAGCCGCAGCAGAGCTGCTTGTGGTAGTGGTGGTGGTGGCGCTGCTGCTGCTGCTGCTGCTGCTGCCGCTGCTGCTGCTGCTGCTGCTGCTGCTGCGACTGTTGCAGCGTGAGTGGGTTTGCGTTTATGGGCGTGTGGCTGCTGCAGAGCGGAGACAGAGGAGCAGCAGCAGCAGCGCAGGCAATGGCCTCGCTGCGGCCCGAGGAAACAGAAGGAGATGCTGCTGCTGCTGCTGCTTTTTGTTTTAAATCTCCTTCTTCAGATTGTTCCTTGACTTTGACAAATAACAGCACAAACTCTGTTGCTTCGGAGGCCCCTGCTGCGCTGAGTCCCCAGGTCACTTCCAGTTTGTGTGACTTTCCGCTGCAGCTGCAGCAGCAGCTGCAGCAGCAGCAGCAGCTGCTGCAGCAGCAGTTGCTGCTGCAGCAGCAGCAGCTCCAGCAGCTGCAGCCACCCACTTCTGGTAGACAACAGCTACTTCTGCCACTGCAAGAAGACACAACGATCCCGACACAGCAACAACTCGACAGACAGCAGCAAACCATCAGTCTGCTGCCCGATGCAATGATAGACCCAGGGTTGCTGCTGCTGCAGCAGCAGCAAATACTGCAACAGCAGCAGCAACTGCTGTCTGCCGCCAGCATGGAAGTTGAGCAAGACCACTTGTGCGCCGCTGGCTCGCTGCAACAAGAGCAGCAACAAGGAAAGCTGCAGCAGCAGGAGCATCCAGACTGGCTGCTCGGAAACCCTCTTCAGCAGCAACAACACCAACTGCAGCAAGTAGTACTGCAGCAGCAGCAGCAACTGCAGCAGGTGCTGCTTCACCAGCAACAACTGCAGCAGCAACTGGAGCAGCAAGCGCTCCAGCTGCAGCAGCACTCACTTCACGGCCAGCACGTCTCGGGCGTGCACGCTGCTGTGCAGCAGCAGGAGCAGCAGGAGCTGCAGCAGGAGCTGCAGCAGCAAGCTTTTGTGCAGCAGCAGCCCGGCGAGGGGCAGCAAGTGCACGAGGCGAAGCTGGGCGGGGGTGAGCTTCCAGAGCTTCCAGAGGCCTCCTGCGCCTTGGCGCAGCAGCAGCAGCAACAACAGCAACAACAGCCGCAGCAGCAGGAGCAGCAGCAGCAGCAGCAGCAGCCCCAGTTGTGGCTCTCTTCAGCGCAGCCCGAAGTGAGCCCCCTCACGAATGCGCTGCAGCAGCAGCTGCAGGAACAGCAGCAGCTGCAGCAGCAGCAGCTGAGTGGCGACATGCAGCTGGATAAATGTCAAGGAGACATGCAGCTGGAGAAGTGCCACGCTGCGGGACAGCAGCAGCAGCAGGAGCAGCAGCAGCAGCAGCAAGCGCATCCACAGCTGCAGCAGCCGCTGCATTCGCATCCAGTGCGTGAAGTTTCTTCTTCTTTTTCTGAAATGCTTGAGCCTGCAATGCAGCAGCAAACACTGAGGCAGCAGCAGAAGCAGAAGCAGCAGAAGCACAGGCATGCGCGGCATGCGCCGCAGCAGCAACACCGCCATCATCTTCAGCAGCGGCAGCAGCAGCAGCAGCGGAAGCAGCAGCGTAGCTCCGTCGCTCACGGCAGGCCCTCAAGAAAGCTTGGTGAAGCAGCAGCAGCAGCTGCTGCTGCTGCTTCTGGCAGCAACATCATGGGGCCCCTCAGGCGGTCGCTCAGGTCGAAAAGACTCTCTGCGAAAGGTATGTACTGCAGCGGGAGCAGCAGCAACAGCAGCAGCAGCAGCAGCAGCAACAGCAGCAGCAACAGCACGCAGGAAAGAGGGACTCTAGTGTTTCTTCACCTTGACTTAGTGGTTAGATGCGTAGATCAAGACGCGCCGTGCAGTGCTGCTGCTGATGATGCTACTACTACTGCTGCTGCTGCTACTGCTGCTGCTGTCCGTGCTGCTGCTGCTGCTGCTGTGGCTGACTTTTACCTCGCGCTCGCTACTGCTGCTACTGCTGCTACTGCTGCTACTGCTGCTACTGCTGCTACTGCTGCTACTACTGCTACTACCGCTGCTGCTGCTACTGCTGCTACTGCTGCTACTGCTGCTGCTGCTGCCGTGCTGCTGCACAGAAGCTAGTCTGAACTCCTGTGAAGAAGAGGAGGAGTGGCTGCCCCACAAGACTCTTGTTGCAGATACTGTTGCAGCTGCGGCGGCTTCAGGCGTTTCTGGCTTGGGTGCTGCTGCTAGCGTTGAAGGCAGCAAAGACGCAGCAGCAGCTGCAGCAGCAGCAGCAGCAGGTGCACGGACAGAAGCAGCAGCAGCTGCGTCAGACACAGACGACAGGCTTTTGCTGCAGCTCAAGAGCCTCGTGTGTCCTTCAGCTGACCCCAAAACGGCCTCTCCGGTGTCTTCGGCCACACGGGAAGAGCCTTCGCGGGTAGAGCAGCAGCAGCAGCAGCAGCAGGAGCCACTGAGGCAGCTAAAGCAGGAGCAGCGGCAGCAGCAGCAGCAGCAACCGGACGTGCCCGGTGCTGCGCCGGCGTCTAGCAGCGGCCGTAGCAGCTGCGCCGCAGCAGGAGTGAGCAAAAGCAGCAGCAGCAGCAGCAGCAGCAGTTGCAGCACAGCAGCAGCAGCAGTTGCAGTATCCGAAGCAAGAGCGCACTCAAAGTAGCATCACTTTGAAGAGCAGCAAGAGCAGCAGCAGCAGCAGTAGCAGTCACTCTCAAAGCAAGAGCGCACTCCTTTGAGGATCACCCTAGAGAGCAGCCAAAGCAGCAGCAGCAGCAGCAGCAGCAGCAGCAGCAGCAGCAGCAGCAGCAGCAGCAGCAGCAGCAGCAGCAGGCAGGGCGTGCTGCGTGTGCGGGTTTTGCTGCTGCAGCGGCAGCTGCCGGAACTGCGGCGAGGCAGCAAGTGCATCCGGGGGGCCCCCCGCGCCACAGTGCAGCAGCTCTACGGGCAAACTTACGACTTGGAGGCCCTCGCGCTGCAGCTGGACGAAACCCACATTGATGACATTGACCCTGGGGACTTCGACAGAAGTTATTCTCAAGGAAAACGATTTGCTGTTGGCGACTTGGGCCGGAAGCTCCTCCTCGTCGTCGTCAGGGAGAAACTCGAGGTCAGCTGCTCCCGCGCTGCAGCAGCAGCAGCAGCAGCAGCAGCAGCAGCAGCGGCAGCAGCAGCAGCAGCAGCGGCGGCGGCAGCAGCCGCGGCGGCGGCAGCGGCTGGAGGGACCGCTGCTTCCTACTTCTGGGGTTTTAAATGCAAGCAGCAACAGCAGCAGCAGCAGCAGCAGCTGCTGCTGCTGCTGCTGCTGCTGGGCAGGAATTGCACTAGTGAACAGCTGCATGCACTTGTGCTGCAGCCGCTGCAGATGGCTAGCTGCTGCTGCTTTAGCTAGCTGCTGCTGCTACATGTGTCTGTGTGCCTTTGTTATTTTTTGAGGCGCATGAGTCAGTTGTCCTGTTGTGGGGTGTATCCGAGTGTGCTGCTGCTGCAGTGTGCTGCTGCTGCTGCAGTGTGCTGCTGCTGCAGTGTGCTGCTGCTGCAGTGTGCTGCTGCTGCAGCGGGGTGCTGCTGCAGCGGGGTGCTGCTGCAGCGGGGTGCTGCTGCAGCGGGGTGCTGCTGCAGCGGGGGGTGCTGCGGCTGAGTGTCGCTGCTGCTGCGGCGGTGGGGTTGTTGTGCTGCTGCAGGCGGGGGCCTGCGGGCAGCTGAAGTTCTTGACCTTGACAGACCTTTTTCGTTTAGCTTATGAGTTGGGTCTTTGGGAGTTTGCGTTGAAGGTGGCGATGGCCTACAGAGTGGGTTGTTTGCGGATCCCCAAGACAGCGCCTGCGCCGCCCGCAGCAGCAGCAGCAGCAGCAGCAGCAGCAGCAGCGCTCCCGGAAGCGGAAGCAGCAGCAGGCGGGGCGCCAGAAGCAAACACAAGGCCCGACCAAAGCCCAGAGAGTGGCCCCACAGAGGCTCCTGCTGCTTCTTTGCTGCTTCCAGAAGGCGCAGAGCGCAGCAAGGCCTCTGGCGCTGCAGAGGCGCCAGGATTGGCTGCTGGCAGCAGCAGCAGCAGCAGCAGCAGCAGCAGCAGCGGGACCAGAGGCGGCAGCGGCGCGGCAATGCTGCAGGATGGTCCCGAAGCGCAGGTTGTGCTGCAGCGGAGCAGCAAACGAAGGCTGCTCCCGTCCCCCGCTGAGGGAGACAGTAGCAGCAGCAGCAGCACCAGCAGCACGAACAGCAGCAAAAGCAGCAACAGCAGCAGCCGGTCCCGCCCAGCGCATTCTGCAGCTGCGGAGAACACTTCCAGCTGCGACAGAAAGAGCCCCTTGGACTTGCTCAGGTCCGTCGGGGTCCAGGATCAATAGCTAGCTAGGCATCTAGCTAGCTAGCTGCACTGCGTAGCTAGCTAGCCGCAGTAGCTAGCTAGGCAGGAGGTAGCTAGCTGGCAGGCTGGCAGCTGCAGCAGCGACGGAGCAGCAGCAACTTCGCTAGCTAGCTAGCAACACAGCTAGTCGGCCTAGCTATCCAGCTAGCTAGCTGGCAGCCAGCAGACACGCGGCAGAGTGCAGCAGCAAGCAAGCTCTGTAGCAGCCTCAGCTAGCTAAAAAGCTACTTTCATTTGGCCTCGCAGCAGCAGCAGCAGCAGCAGCAGCAGCAGCAGCAAGGCTCTCAAACCCCCCGCTAGGGAGTTGAGGCTTTGAGCAACGACAGCAACGCCTGCAGAAGCAAATCTGCAGGGCCAGAAACAGCAGCAGGAGCTGCAGCAGCAACGGGAGCCACAGCCAAGCAGCAAATGGACTTGAGCAGCAGGGGGCGCTGCAGCAAGCAAAGCAGCAGAAGCCACGGACGGGCTGCAGCAGCAGGAACAGCAGCTGCTGCAGGAGCGACCGCGGTAAGGCTGTGTTGTTTCTTTATGTTTCTGGAGAAAGGCGATTTTGCTGCAGCAGCAGCAGCAGCAGCAGCAGCAGCAGCGCAGGCGGCTCAGAGGGCTCAAGTTGTTTTGATTGGGACAAAAGGTGTGCCCGTTTCCTCTCAGTGCTGCCTCTTCGCTGCATGCATATTTTTAATGTTTTTATTTTTAATTGTTTGATTTTGGCCCGCAAGCAGCAAAGCCGCAGCGGGCTAGGGTGTATGTACACTTGGTGGGCGCGCAGCAAAGACTGCACCGTAGGTGTTGGGGTGTACGTACAGCTCGCGTGTAAGTACACCTCTTTGCGGGCGTGTATCAGTTGAGTATTTCTTTTTAATATTTCCTTCTTCGGGCATTTCGGTTGTTTTCTGGAAAGCTATGCGTCAGGTGTATGTACAGCTGCACTTGGCGACACAAAAACAAAGCAGCAGGGCCGCCGTGAAGAAGACAAGCAACCCTCGAGTGCGCATGCATGCATGCATGCATGCATGCACGCACGCATGCATGCATGCATGCACACATGCATGCGCGCATGCATGCATGCACTCATGCATGCATGCATGCATGCATTCGCGCACGCATGCATGCATGCAGGCACGATGCATCCACGCATGCGTGCGTTCGCGCATGCATGCATGCATGCATGCATGCATGCATGCATGCATGCATGCATGCACCAGCTGTGGGCATGTGGGGTGCACAGGAGTAGGGGAGTTGCTGCCTGCCGAAGGAGAGCAGTAGAGCGTTTAGAATGTGTGCGACTTTGCGCAGCCGCACGCGAAATAAGAATAAATGAGTCTACATAAAACTCGAGTTGCATGCGCAGCAGCGCATGCAACTGGGGCGCGCATGCATGCGCATGCATGCGCATGCATGCGGCCTAGAGTAACTTCGCCACATTTTGCATGCATGCTGCGGAATGCTGTTGCTTTCTTCTGCTTCTTTTTGCCCCTTTCGAGTTAAAATAATGTTCACATCTGGTGCAGTTTTGTCGAAAGGATTTGCGCCGCCTTGCTGCGGGGGAGCAGGCGCTTCGTCGCTGCTGCTGCTGCGCCTGCTGCGGCCGGCGCGCAGCAGCAGCGACTGCTGCTGCTGCTGCTGCTGCTGCAGCAGCGACAGGGTGCCAGTTTAGGTGGGATGTGCGGACTTCAGGCACTTTTGTTTTTCGAGGACCACCCCTGGGCTGACCAGCTGCGGCATTTGCTGCTCAGTGCAAGCAGCAGAAGCAGCAGCAGCAGCAGCAGCAGCAACGGCTACAGCCCGCCGCTGCAGCGTCAGCAGCAGCAGCTGCAGCGAGGCGGGGCTGCTGCTGCAGCCAGCCAAGCGACTGTGCATGCAGTGGCTAGCCTCTGCTGCGTCGCTGCTGAAGTTTAAATTAAACTTCAATAGGCAAAGCAGGTCCTCTATATATGTTTTAACGCAGCGGCGTCAAGGCGGCGGTGCGGCTGCTGCAGCTCTGCTGCTGCAGCTGCTGCTGCTGCTGCAGCAGTTTCCGCGCTGCTGCAGCGCAGCCTGCACTTCTCTAATAGCGCTAGAGTCCCTTTTCCCTACTGAGATCTTCTGTCCCTGCCGCTGAAGTAGCAGACACAGCTGCGACGGACAAGCAGCAGCTGTGGCTCTGCTGCAGCAGCTGTGGCTCTGCTGCAGCAGCTGTGGCTCTGCTGCAGCAGCTGTGGCTCTGCTGCAGCAGCTGTGGCTCTGCTGCAGCAGCAGCAAAGAAGCTCCTGCTCATTACCCTGCAGCAGCTGAAGTTCCCGCTTCAGCCTTTGTTCCACATCTTGTTCCCAGACCCCCTCGGGTTCTCATCCTGCAGCAGCGAGGCAGGCAGCAGCAGCAGTAGCAGCAGCAGCTGCTGCAGCGACTGCAGCAGCAGCAACAGCGGCGACTGCAGCTGCAACAACCGCAGCTAGAAACGACAGCAGCAACGCCTTCTCACCTTCCAATCGTCCCACTTCCTTGCTTCCAGCTCCTCTGCTTCCTCCGCCTGCACAGCAGCAGCAGCAGCAGCGACGGCAGCTGCAGCAAAAGTGGAACGAAGCAGCAGCACAGCAGCAGCAGCAGCCACAGCAGCGGCAGCAACACTCCAGCCTAGCCCACCGCCTGCCGCGCCTCCCCCGTGGGAAACTCCACCACCACTTTCGGCTTCGCTGCTCCAATTTGCTTCCTGAGCCACACAGGAAGCTAGCTGCTGCTGCTGCTGCTGCTGTTGCTGCTGCTGCTGCTGTTGCTGCTGCTGCTGCTGTTGCTGCTGGGGCCACAGCTAACTTTCTGGCCCTGCTAACTAGCTGAAGTTGCTCACGAGTGACGCTGCCGCGCGAGCTCATAGGCACAAGGCCGCCTTGCTAGCTGGCTAGCTAGCTAGCTAGCTAGCTAGCTAGCTAGCTAGTTGGTTAGGTGCAGGGCTAGCTAGTCTGGTGTGTGCGTAGCGGCGAAACGGCTAGCTGCCAGCTAGCTGGCTAGCTAAGCGACTAGCTAGCTGGCTAGCTTGCTGACTAGCTAGCTGGCTAGCTTGCTGACTAGCTAGCTGGGTGGCTAGCTGGCTAGCTAGCTGGCTAGCTAGCTGGCTACTAGGCACTGACGTCTCCATTTCCATCTCAATGTCCGCACACTCCGCGA